TATTTATTGTTACAGTCGTCTTTAGATTAGTTTTAAAAATTTGTTTTTCTTTATTTTTTTCTTTTGTTTTGTTATTTCTTTGATTTTCGAAAAAAAAAACATGCAAGCGTCCACAGTTGACTCAACTTGAAATTGTTCTTCATGGCAAATAGCGAATCTTCGAAGCAGCGTGCACGAATAGTCGTTTATATGAATGTCATAGCCTTAGTTTCGCTAGTTGAGAAGAAGAAAGAATGTTTTAGACCCTTGCTCAATAAATAAAACATTAATTTCGATGTCACGAATTATATATCGATATTAATTTTAAGTTAGATTCCCAAAGCAAACAAAAGAAACGTCGACCATTCTCGCGAACGAATCGAATGGACAACGTACAGGTTAACATATACACGTATATAATCGTATGCCCGAGGCGAACAACGGATTCTCGTGTCCTCGTTATCGATAGTTAGACGAATTGTAGCTGTCTTTTCAGCATCTACCGTCGAAGTTTCTATAATACGTTTAAGAGATGTTCTTTCCGGATTTTACTTTGCGTGTTTCTTTCACGTCAGCATCTTTGAGCAAACTTCGTGAAGTTTGTCTGTACGTGCGTGTCTAAAATTGCATTCTTAAACTCGCGCCGATTTCCGTCGATCTCCGCGCACTCTATCGAGAAATGACAGAAATGATTCGTCGGGATGTTTCGAACGAAGTATTTGTCGCGCAAAGTTGGACACACACAGGACCATGTTTTCGTAAAAGTAGAAATAAGACCTGAGCTTAATGTATTCTCTCGTGAAACCGTGTATAAAACTCCTGTTTGTACCTTACTAGTTTACTATGACGCTATTATAGATTACGTATAGAGGAATTGAAAGTGAAAGAGAAAAGCGATTGAATAAATAAGATGAGAATAAAAGAGAGAGCGCACGCGCGCGAGAGAGAAAAGAGCGAACGAACGAGCGAGCGAAAGGGCGAAAGAAAAAGAAACAAAGAGATAGGGATGTTAGTGTCCATTCGAAGATCACGTTAAGTCCTTTATTTTTCGCTACGAAGCGACGAAAGATTAGTGTTAGTATGATTAGCAAACGAAAAATGCGTATGATTATCGTGCTTTCGCTTCAAAATGTTTCATAATTCTAATTAGATTGTTTTATGGCGTCTCAGATATAACGCCATTTGGTGAAAGACTATATCAGCAAGGCTGGTGATTAGACTTCGATTAGTTTCCTTTTTTATGTTAAGCATGATAACGGTTTAGCAAATGTGTTTTACTGAAAGTGTCCTTCCTATGTAAATTTACTTGTTTGTCCTCATAAATTATAAATAAATGATATCTTTCGTGTTCACGTATCCGTAGTCCTTTTATTATTTTCTTTGAGGTGTTAACAACAAGGTAAATAATAAGCATAATTTTCAATTGTTATATTAGTTTTGCATTTAGAGTTAATATAGGACTGTTATGAAGGTATGTATATACATGAATACAGTTAAATAATTTACGAAAGTAGTTGTCGATTCTTTTCACTATAGTGAATAAGTATATTTTCAAATTATAAAATATAAGAGATGTAAAGTTGTAAATTATATTTATTTTGTAACATTTCTATCTTTCGAATTTGTAATTTAAATCTGAAACAGAAATAACAATACGATGTTAGTTTAAATTAAATCAAAATTTAATTACATTTTTCCAAATAGTTCGCAAGTACACGTAGGTAAATTCATTATCGAGAGTATTGTCTGGCAAAGCAAACTTAAGGATTCAGGCGGGCTTTAGGGTCTAGGAGTGGGAGGTGTAGAAGTTATGACGTCTCGTTAATCAGCCAATCACGATAAGAGGAAAGACAGAAAGTACCACCGAGAGCATCGTCAGAAATGAAGTATTATTAGTTTAGTTGATTTTTAAAATAAGTATTCTTTGCATTTTTCGCTTTTAATAATAGTTATTGTAAATCAGAGCATAATTCCATGTAGTAAGCAGTTTAAAATTGATACTTACAATAAATGTTTAATTGCTTTAACATTATTTATAGTTTAAATAATGAAATAAAGTTTCTATTTTATTTTCAAGTGCTTTAATTGTAGGATAATAATCAGTGTTGCTTATTAACTTGATAAAACCACTTAATATACTGCTATTGCATTGAATTAACCGTTGTATTCAGTAGATTAGTCAGAAATTGTTCATAACTTTTATTTAACATTTTAAAATTAATGTTCTTTTTGTGTAAATTAGAAATGAAATTGTCAGGCCGCCAGAGGAATCAAGGAAAGGATTTCAACATCAGGAAAAATGAAGATATGCAATTATTTATCAAAAAATCAATTATCTATTGTAAGATAACTATAAAATATATTTTACAAAAAGTTACAATATACTAGTATTGTTTTACAGCATTTTACATTAATTTTTTAAATAATATTCCATTAAACAATTAAATAAACTAAGGCCGAATAACATTAGGATAGCGTAATAACCGAAAACATCTCGAATTTTGTACGAAAAACTTCAAAAATTGCGTGAAAATAGCACCGAGAATGTAGACTAAATATTTCAATTTAATACAGTATAAAAAATTTGTTAATGGAAGATTCTGATCTAATAGGAGAAGAAAATCGAAATTATACAGAATAAAAACAACTAATATTGTTCAAAATAAAATTAAATTCAAATTGATAAATAAAGAACAATTAATTTCTTTCAAAAATTCAGGAAAAATATATGTTTTCATTGAACTAATTTTGAATTAAATACAGTAACAAAAATATTATTAAGTTAATAATAATTAATACAATAGTTTAAAGTTGATAAATCTGAAATGAACGAAATTTTTTTTGTCTACATCACTATAATATAACAGTGTGTAATTACAAAATATAGAAAATTAATTTTTTAAAGATGTGTACGGCTTAAGATACGATTTCTCACGTTTAGAGAATTTTTAATCACCTATTCAATGTAGTCCAAACCATAATGACAATGAAATTTGGTTTTTAAAGAAAACACAAATATGTATTAATTATAAGGTAAGCAGGAAATGAAATACATTGTTGACTTTAAATTGCTTCTCTTCTATGCTCTTTACTTATTAATACACTTTGTACACTTTAACATACAATGTAGTTACAATAGGAAACGTAATTTGTTATTAACAGAATGAATTATACTGCTTAGATTCGTAATTATTGCATTAAATCGTATAATTTATCTATAGTGTTATCATTATTGCCGTTTAACAATTCCATTATGAAAAATTATAGAATGGTTGAAGATCAAGGTAATTTAACAGTTATAGAGGAATATTTGATATATAAAAGGAAATAGTTGCAAAAATGGTGTAAGAATCTTAACAAACATTATAAGGCAAATGTGAAAAAACTTAGTTTGCTGTAACATGGTAATATACAAACATTTATATAAATATCATGTACAAAATGTTCAGTATGGCAGCGATACAATTGAAATAGATAACTCTGAACTAGTATCATTACTTTACAAAGTGAGTAAGTTGTACATGTATAGTATATACACATACTATTTGTTGCTATGAACATGTTAGATATAGCTAAATAATATTATGTATTATACAATATCTCGCACGTATTTGGTTGAATATTTAATACACAGTAATTTGTATATATCTTTTCATGCAACAATTAAATAGTCATATATAAGTCAAATAGAAAAATGTTATCATAATAGCACAATATCATGCATGATAAAACTCTGAATGTGTAACCATAAACTTTTGAAGCATACTAAATACTGAAGATTTAAAAAATACAAACGAAAAAATTTGTTTCAAAAATTAATATTAATAAATTTCAATAAAATTCATATCGAAGTTGTATTACACTCAATTTTACATGAAACAAAATATAAGTAATTTTATATTTGAAAATATATAACAAGAAAACAAAAGGAAATTGAATTTTATTTTAATCCAAAATATCAGTATTACCATTTCCGTTTTTCTTATTATTTTGACTTTTCATGTTACTGTAAACAATAATATCACTGTGTATATAATATATATTTGTTTCGTATAAGTCCTATTCCTAGCGTAAGCAACATACGCTCTATCGAAATAACAAAATAATTTTGCTTTGATTTTACAACAATAATTAAAATAAACTATCTTCTGAGAAAATAGTTACTTATACGTAACAAATAGCGAGTACAGTTCACAATCTTTTATACTTATTAATATAATTGGAATTTTCTATCTTTGGCATATATGCTAAAGAATCTATGCAAACAGTTCTAAAATATTTGTTTATATATGATAATTTAATAAGTCGAACAGCTAGAGAATAATGATAATGTAATTTTTGTACTAATCAATTTAGATTCTTTACTATAATTGATGATTAGGCTGCATGTTTTTCTCAATTTTGCATAAATGGTGTCCCTAAATATGTGAATTCATTAAGATCATAAAACCATAAATAATTGATTTGTAATTATAACTTACAATTTATAAAGCACATTATACATTCCTAATGATGATCATCGACGTTGCGAAGTGATTCAATAATGAACGCACTAATTTTTCCAACTCACTTTAGATTAGAAAAATCTGACTCCAATAATAAATACTGTTTGCTAAATTAATTTCTAATTATATAAATTCTCTTAACCATTAGTAGTTTCATGATTCATATTTTTTATAATACAACGTGGTTTTCAAAGCAAAGGGTAACATACATCATTTGTATATCGCATTATACATATAATGTTACAATAAATTGTATTAAATGTTATATCACTGTACTTAATCTCTGTACACATATACACAAAATGATATCCAAGAAATCTATGTTCAATCCTTTAGACATTATTAATGTCACATGCATATATATTTAAAATGTTAAGTAAAAGTATGTATATCGATAATTGAAAAAAATAGTATGTATCACAATTAATACTCGAGACAGAATATCTATTTCTGACTCATACTTGACATTAAAATATTAGTAGTGTTATTACTAATATTTTATTAATAAAGCTCTGCCTTTTGTATGTTACTAGTAATTGATTGCAATATCATATTGAAGTTGATTCAGCATGCAATCCTGTTAATGTGTGATAGTGTTGTAAACGTTTCAAATTAGCTATTAAATACGCATTTTCTATATACAAATCTTTTACTAATATATCAGTTCGTGCCAATTGTTCGGCCTGTAAAAAATAATACAAAAATTAATAACATATTACATTATAAATTTTATGATATTAAATGAAAATTACGTTAAAAAATATTTAAAATATTCAGAATATTATTAAAACTACTTACCTGTTCTGCACTCGTTTGAAATTCTATTTGAAGTCTTTCTTGAGTACTACGAAGAAGACATTGTAATTCCGACATTTCTACTTGATGTTGAGACATAACGTCTGGAATAATAATCGAATATTTTAGTGTATATTATACATAATAGTAATTTTAAGTATAAAATTCTTTTAGTAAAATTGTAGAAAACTTACGTTGTAATACACGCTCAGTATGATATTGCTGTTGCTTAAAGCATTCTTGTAATTGATGATTTTTGCGCCCCTGTGCCTGAAGTTTCATGCTTAGATTCTGCAATATATTAACATTTATACAACACAGTTGTGCATCATTTCGTACACACTGACAATTTGGAGATTTTAAATTTTTTAATTTAAATGTGTTTTGTACTAAGTCATATTCTAAATTGTGAATGCTTTCTTCTTTCGCGAATTTTTCATTAACGTCTAGTGTCTTCCATTGTGATCCTGGCTTTTCAATTTTATAGGTGTTGCTGACATCTTTCATAGAGTGTTGAGCATGTATTTGATGTGGGTCACAATTACTGCTATCTGTATGATCTTTTGTTAGTCGTGGAGTAAAGTCATTTGATACGTTCGAAGATTCTAAAATTCTATTAAATTTAAATTCTTCAGGCACTTTGTGAATATTATCATTGTATGGAGCTAATTTTGAAACTGATTCACTGGACGGTTGAATATTGAATGAATCATTAGGAACATAATTTGATCGTGCTAGTAAAGACGAAAAAATAAAGTCATCTGTAACTTGTACAGATATATCAGCAGTTATTGGTCGTTCTAAGGATTTTATTTTCTCGCGTAGATCTTTAATTTCGGTGTCTTTTTGAGATATTTCTTCTTCCATTTGCGCTTTCCACTTCTCAAATTCTTCTTCAAGATCTAAATACTGTATAAACAAAACAATATATACGTTTATAAGGATTAAATTTATTGTAAATTAATAA